GGCATGTTTTACAGAAATGATGAGGAAGCCTACAAGGATGCATGGAAAAGACTTCAAGATCGCTATGGACAGCCGTTCATCGTACAAAGAGCATTCCGTGAGAAACTTGCATGCTGGCCCAGAATCCAGCCCAAGGATGCTGAAGGACTCAGAAATTTCTCAGACTTCCTGAATGCATGTAAAGACGCTATGCCTCATGTTAAGGGACTGGAAATACTGAATGACTGTGAGGAAAATAGAAAACTCGTCAGTAAACTTCCTGATTGGGCGGCTGCCCGCTGGAACCGGCAAGCTACGCAAACACTAAATGAGACTCAAGAGTTCCCACCTTTCCATGATTTTGCTAAATTCATGTCACTTGAGGCCGAGGTAGCTTGCAACCCAGTCACTTCCTTCTATGCTCTTCACGCTTCTGAAGCTAATAAGGATAAACAGAACCTCAAGGTTAGTAAGAACAAAGCCAATGTCTTCCACACAAAGATAATCACACAAAATGAGGATCCGAAGCACACTGGTAAGGTATTTAAACCATGTCTGTTCTGTCGAAGCAGTGAACATCAAATTCATGATTGCTCTAAATTCTCTGCAAGGTCTCTTGAAGAACGGAGACAGTTCGTAAAAGATAGTAAGCTGTGCTACGGATGTTTGAAGCTCAGTCACAGTGCCAGAGACTGTCGTTCCAGACATAACTGTGTTATCTGCAAGGGAAGACATCCTACCTGCCTACATGATGACAGCTTCATTAGAAGGGTGAAGTTTTCCCCTGCTCAAAGCCCAGAGAACACCCATGAAAGGGTAGTGACGACGTCTTTAAGTGTAGAATCTGGATGTGCATCTGCTAACACCTCAATGATCGTGCCAGTGTGGTTGTCCTCACAAAATGACCCCACCTCAGAGAGACTCGTCTATGCTCTGTTAGACACACAAAGCGACACTGTCTTCGTCGAATATGCAGTAAGTCAAAGTCTAAAGGTTGACTCATGCCCAGTGACACTAAGGCTCACCACCATGGTTGGAAGAGATTCGTTGATATCAAGTGAAAGAGTTTCTGGTCTTCGAGTCAGAGGTTTCAATTCTACAGTAATTCTAGACCTCCCCCCTGCATACACTAAGGAATGTATCCCTGTGGATCGCGCTCACATCCCCACCAGTGAGACTGCCAGGTGTTGGAAACATCTTGCTCCTCTGGCAGACAGGATTCCCCTGCTTCAAGACTGTGAGGTTGGTCTATTATTAGGATATAACTGTCCCAGAGCTTTAGCACCCAGAGAAGTGATTCTTGGAGCAGACAATGAGCCATATGGTGTTCGCACGGATCTCGGATGGAGCATCGTGGGCCCTTCCTTGACACATGAGTCGCAAAGCGGTGTTAGTATGTGTCATAGAGTATCTATTAAGGAGATTCCTTCTGTAACACCAGCTGATGTCATCAAGGTTCTGGAGTCAGATTTCAGGGATACTAAAGAAAACACAAAAGTGGTGTCTCAAGAGGACATTGTGTTCTTGAATAAACTGGAAGAAAACATCAAAACGAACGAGGATGGACATTTGGAAATGCCCCTTCCATTCAAGAAAAGACCCTATCTTCCAGATAATGAGGTTCTTGCTGTCATGAGACTTCAACATCTCAAGCGGAGATTAATTAAGGACCAAGAGTACAGAGATCATTATGTGAAGTTCATGGAAGATGTGATCGAGAATGGTGACGCAGAAAGAATCATGGATGAAGGAAAGAAAGGTGAAAAATGGTACATCCCTCATCACGGGGTGTATCACTCGAAGAAGCCAGGGAAATTGCGCGTAGTCTTCGACTGCTCTGCCCGGTACAAGGGGTCCAGTTTGAACGACCATCTACTACCAGGCCCTGACCTAATGAACAGCCTTACTGGCATTCTTTTGCGGTTCAGGCAGTATCCAGTGGCATTGACGTGTGATATTGAGAGGATGTTTCACCAGTTCCACGTTGACAAGGCAGATCGAGATTACTTACGATTTCTATGGTGGAGAAATGGAGATTTGGACTCTCAGCCTCAAACGTTCCGCATGAGAGTACATCTTTTTGGTGCCTCGTCGTCTCCTGGATGCGCTAACTACGGACTGAAACATCTTGCAAGAGAAGGTGAACATCTGTACCCCCTGGGTTCACAATTTATAATGCGAGATTTCTACATGGATGATGGCGTCTCCAGTGTTGAATGTGCAGAGAAGGCCATCCAGTCTGCGCGAGAAGCTCGCCAGGTTTGCGCACTAGGAGGTTTGAGATTGCATAAGTTTGTGTCCAACAACAAGGCAGTTTTGGAGAGTATACCACCTTCTGAATGTGCTGTGGATGTTACAGCTGTCGATCTGTCCCTCACTGACCAGCCTTTGGAAAGAGCTTTAGGCATTTACTGGCATCTGGAAGATGACAACTTCAGATTTCGTGTCAACCTAAAGGACCAACCAGCGACCCGTAGAGGCATACTGTCCGTAGTGGCCTCATTGTTCGACCCCCTAGGGTTTCTTGCGCCATTCTTGCTTAAAGGGAAGGCCATTCTGCAAGAAATGTGCGTAAATGGCATGGGCTGGGATGATCCATTACCTGATAGTTTGCGGCCAAGGTGGGAGCATTGGAAGGCAGATCTTGCAAACTTAGAGAAGATTGAGGTGCCTCGTTGTATTGTGCCTGCTGGATTTCAGAGAATCACAAAGAGAGAAATCCATCACTTCTCAGACGCCAGCACGAAAGGATATGGCCAGTGCTCATACCTTAGGCTTGAGAACGAACAAGGTGATGTTCATTGTTCTTTGCTCATGGCAAAATCTAGAGTAGCACCACTTAAGGTCACGACAATCCCTCGGTTAGAGTTGACTGCTGCGGTAGTGTCAGTGGCAGTGAACGATATGTTGAAGGAAGAAATGAACCTTGCAGATGCAGAGGCATATTTCTGGACTGACTCTCAAGTGGTGTTAGGCTATATAAACAACGAAGCTCGCCGCTTCCACACGTTCGTCGCAAATCGAGTTCAGAGAATTCATCACAGTACAAGTCCTCAACAGTGGCGATACATTCCCTCAGATGAAAATCCAGCCGACTATGCATCACGAGGTATGAGTGTTGATGATCTTGTCGCTTCCAGCTGGTTCAGAGGACCGAAAGTCTTGTGGAAAAGGCAAATAGCTCCCCCTGTGGATGTTAACACACAACTTCCAATTGGTGACCCAGAGGTCAAGAAGGCTCAGTCACTGAACACGCAAACGGTACAAAATTCCTGCTTATCCAACCGTCTCACAAGGTTGTCTTCATGGTCCAAGGTCATTCAAGCAGTTGCGCGTCTGCTTCGTAGAGTCAGGAAGGACAAGTCAAGTGACCACAGTACAGTGGCAGAACGAGAGGATGCTAAGTCCATCATCATCAAGGACTTACAAAGTCAGACGTATGCAGAAGAGATAGCCTTACTCCGTAAGGGCAAGCAACTCTCACGCAACAACAGGTTATACAATCTAGATGCCTTTGTCGACCATGACGGATTGCTCAAGGTGGGAGGGAGGCTTTGTAATTCTTCTGTACCTTACTCCATTAAATATCCTGTCATTCTTCCAAAGGAACACCATCTTACAAAACTTCTGATCGCCGATTGTCATGAGAAAACTGAACATCAAGGAAAGGGATTGACTATAAATGAGATCAGATCAAGAGGATATTGGATAACAGGAGTAAATAGGGCGGTAGCCTCCTTTGTACGACGGTGTGTGGGATGTCGCAAGCTTCGCAGGCCCACAGAAGAGCAAAAAATGGCCAACCTGCCCTCAGAGCGTTTAGATCCATCCCCTCCTTTCACTTACTGTGGAATGGATGTTTTTGGTCCTTTCATTATCAAACAAAGCCGTAAATCGTACAAGAGGTATGGACTTCTCTTTACCTGTTTCTGTTGCAGAGGCATCCATATTGAGATGTTGGATGACATGTCCACGGACGCCTTTATCAACGGACTGCGCTGTTTCATCGCTATTAGAGGAGCAGTTCGTTTAATAAGGTGCGACCAAGGCAGTAATTTCATTGGAGCCAAGAATGAGTTTGCTAAGGCCATGACAGAGATTGACACAAATCGTCTCGTAACATACTTAGCAGGAAAGCAGTGTGACTTTGTCTTCAACGCACCCCACTCAAGTCACACAGGAGGAGTTTGGGAGAGACAGATTAGAACTGTGAGAAGTGTCCTTAATTCCACTCTGTCCTTATCTTCTGGAAGGCTTGATGATTCTTCCCTGCGGACCTTCTTCTACGAGGCTATGGCGATTGTAAATAGCCGACCGCTCACAGTAGACAATCTGAATGATCCTAAGAGTCCTGAGCCCCTTACCCCAAATCACCTGCTCACTTTGAAGACTACCCAAGCTCTACCGCCCCCTGGAAAGTTTGTGAGAGAAGATGTATATGCTCGCAAAAGATGGCGCCATGTTCAATACTTGGCAGAGCAATTTTGGGGCCGTTGGCAGAAGGAGTATGTGTCTAACATTGCAACAAGGCAACGCTGGCTTACACCAAGAAGGAACATGCAAGTTGGAGATATAGTCTTGGAGAAGGCAGACGATCTGCCCAGGAATGAGTGGCGCTTGGCAAAAGTTATTGAGACAGTGGTTGACAAGGATGGCTTGGTGAGAAGAGCCAAGATACGGTTTGGAGACAGAAAACTGGGGAAGGATGGTAAACGTCTGAACAAACCTTCAATAGTTGATCGCCCAGTACAGAAGCTGGTCCTGCTGCTGGAGGCATCCTGAACTTCCTGACATATCCTTTGATTTAGGCAGTTCATAGTGAAACGTTTCAGTTTTCCCTTTACATCTAACCTTAAACATGGGTAATTATTTTTAGAAATCATTTGTGATTAAAGTTTAAGATTCATGGTCACTAATGATTTGGTGGGAGTATAAATAACCCTCAGTTATTCTATTTAGTTTTGGGCATTAAGATATCATTCTGACATTATCGTAATTCAATATTTCTTAATATTATCTTATATGTTATATTCTTAATTTGTTTATTAGTTTATTATATATTTGGAGGTTTGCTTTGTAACTTTTAGTTATTTAACCTATAGAGACCTTTATTTTGAAAGGCGGCTTGCCGGAAATGCGAACAGATCGCTCGCGCGCAGGAAGCGCGCATATACGGAGATTGCAGACAGACGGAGACACGGAACCATGCGGTCACGGATTCACACATCTGAATAATAGTGTGTTAAGGTCATCTAAAAGTGAATTTAGGCATCTAGTCGCTGTTTATTTTTTATTTTGTAGTATTTTTTTGTTTTTTTGTTTTTAGCACCTGGTTGGAAAGGAGTACAAGGTATAGTTCATGTATATTTATGCACTTGTATAATCAATGCTATATAGCATATCTTGTCCTTATGATTGTTTTATATATGTTAGTTTAATTTCTGAGCAATTTATGGCATTTATATTAATGCTAGTAATCATTTAGTGATTTATTGCTATATTTTACTGTTTTGTTTCGTGTATGTGAATTATTTTCAAACTCCAATAATGTTAATTTATCTGTTCTAGCTCTTACGGTGTTGTGAAGGTGTTGTGAAGGCAATGTGAAGGTGTAACGGACAATAAACAGACAACATCAGTGAGAGAGCGACTTTTCTTTATTCAACCGGGCTGCTACACATTGTCAGAGCTAAGTTTACACCAATGAGATCATATTTATGAACATTGACTTTAGCTAATAAAATACTTTTTAAAATTTATTTAACCCCCCCTTAAAACCTTAAAAAGAATAAGTTTAATGACACTAGTTTGCAACGTTCCCCAAAAATCAAATACTCTTCACGATTTGTATTACACTTTTTAAAGGATAATCTTACTTTAAAGTTTGAACAAAAATGTAAAAGCACATATTTGCTGTGTTGTGACACAAGACCTTTTGTGAATAGTATTAAGATGGAGTAAATTATTGTAGTGTGATCTAAGTATCTTGTTCTGTTTGTATGGTGGTAATCGTCGATGTTTGAGAAACTGCCTAAACTTTGTTCTTTCTAACTTAATTTACCGACAGGTACAAATAAAGCAACCAACCAACCAACCAAGACCATTAACCGGTTCTTTTTTTCTTTTATAAATTGACTTTCTACAAATATCAGCCTGATAAAAGTGTAGTGTTTAAAACCATGAGAACAGTTTCTTTCTTTTGACAAACCTACAGAAATGCCTTTTGATTACTGTCAGGCATAGTGCAAACAGACAATGTTTGAGAACCCTAATATTGGTGTAATCTCTGCGAGGTGTCACGGGTTAATGTAGGAGTGCAGGCAGACGAAGGAGACCAAAGAGGCAAAGCTCCAATTCAATTACTTTACTTAAACTTTAAACAAGCAACAGGAAAAGGAACAGGCAGAAAATCACTTGCAACACATTGTAACATACACACAACGATCGACCAGGGGCCCGTTTCAATAAGGTTCAACCAACTCTGAGTTAAAGCTTGAACTCAGAGTTGACTTACCCTGAGATGGGAAACTCTGAGTTTTCGGTTACAGAACAGCTGAAATGAGTTAGTTCAATCAACTCTGAGTTGACTGACTCTGAGTTAAGCGCGTGCACCACAGCTATAAAAAGCCATTATCAATGGAGCGCAGATATTATGAGTCACCATGGCAACAACGCCAGACAAAAAGAGGTGTTGGGTATAATTAATTACCAAGTAATCTAAGTATTGTAATTTAATTAAAGGGATTACTCTTAATTCTTCTTTAATTTAAAATAAATGTGGGGTTGTAACGTATGAGAGTTTCACAGTATCAGAACCAATTGTTAAACAATTGTTAAATATATAAACTGCATTATTAAATTACGGTTATTATTTTCATTAGTTAAAATGACAGTTAAATAAATTAAACATTTGTTCAATAAAACATAATATCAACTAACTTCAATAATTGATTATGATTGACATCTTATTTTTTATCATTAATAACTTATTAAATTTTATTACAATTTTTTCCAATGATTTAGAAATATATTATCCAAAACAGTGGTAATCAAATAAAAGTTTAGCAAATGTTTTAATCCTTTTATTTTTTGGCAAAGTGCTGCAAAACAGATTTAGTCAATTAAACCATGGACAAACAATATATATATTCCTTAAAGGTGCAATACCTAAGATTTTTGCATTAAAATATCCCAAAATCACAAGGCCAGTGTTATATATTTAGTAAAGATGATAACTCACAATATTCCAAATGTTTCAAACAATGTTTAAATCGCGAGAAAATTGAGATTTTAACCAAGGAAACGGCACGTGTCAGCAGGGGTGAGCTGGGAGTCGCGAGTCAATCGCGTCATATCCGCTTACCTCGGTTTCCGCTCTTACTACGTGTAGTCCTGGACAAATGCGGTAGTTGTAGTTGTGCGTTAGCGTCTATCAAACGACAGCTTGTTTCGCGCATTTGTTATGGAATGGAGCACATATATTCTTTTCATTTATTCTCGGAATGTGAACTGTTGGCTGTAAAGGGGGTCGCACACCGGACGAGAAGCGCCGCGTCACGTTTAGGACAACTCCAGTAACGTTATCGAACACCGGACGCGCACTTTCTCATCAGTGTATGGCCAGCAATATTGTTATGTTTAATGACAGAAAATGAAGATAATGTCTGTTCTATGTTATTGTACTGTACAATTAAATACAATCGTTGCTGAGTCTGCATTCTGAAAACTTTACCTCAGATCATCCGTTCACAGAATGAATTGAGAATCTCACGTGAAAAATCTAATAATAATCAGTAATTGTCATTCAAGCAGCTGATTTCTGTAAATGACTGCAAAACTAAATGCATAGATATTGCAGCATAGGGCAAAGTCAGGATCCATTAGCAACGGTTTGAGGCAAAAATAATTACAATTTTATATAAAACTATGTAAATGGCGCTCTGTGGCGCAGCAGGGTTTTGAACACGGTCCTGAAACGTTGCTGGGCGCCGCGGACAGACGCCGAATGGCGCCGCCGGTATGTGTACACTTATAGATAATAATGTGTTCGAATAATTATGTGGTGCAACGCGGCGCTGCAGCTTCTCGTCCGGTGTGCGACCCCCTTAACGTTAATTTTGTGAAACTGTAGCTGTGGTTGAATACTTACACGACATGAAAAGATGTGTCAAATGTACATTGCAGACATCCCAAGTCACCCGGATCTCCCGCATATTGATAGCGTTTCCCTGATGCCCGCAAATTAGTTCAAATCTCCCGGGATATAATGTTAGAGCGAGACATTCTGCGCGCATAACATACAGCGCGCTGCGCGTGCACTGTACAGAGGGAGAGACTTTGCGTTTGTGCCTCGCGAACGCGAGAGTTAGCCTTCCCTCCCACCCCCACAATCTTGTTATCGAAATATACCTCCCGGTCCCGGAAATGAATTCTTGCAGGTTGGTATAACTGACATTAAATTGATTTTTTATTTTTATAAAGTTACCAAGGAGGGCCAACCACGTCAACTCCTTGCGAGAGACCTGCCCCTTCAAACCCTCTCCACCATAGCTTCGTCCAGTGACTCGTACAGTAACATCTGTGATAACTAATTTACTTTTAAACCTGACTTTTCTTGCACGGTTAATTCAGTTTAATGAAATACAAGCATGTCATTAAACGCAACGTTTATAGAAATCGAACTTTACCTCATCCATGACAACTAATTTTCGATTCCCGTCTGACTGATTTATCCACGGTGGAGTTGAAAACAACAGTTCCCATCATTCCGCGTTCCTCCACGGCGTCATCAAGCAAAGCCGTTGTTGTTGTTTTGGATGTAGCGCCCTCTAGCGGCATCTAGATCTTAGGTATTGCACCTTTAAAGAATGTGTAAATACATTTTAGTATTATTGTTGGTGTTTAAACAGCACTTCCTCTTTAAAAAAAGGGGAGGAGACCACAAGAAACTCTGGGTTTACTGAAGAAAACCTGCTCCCGACCAGGTTAGGTTCACAGAGTAAGTTACCATGGTAACTGACTCTGAGTATATGTTACCTCTCTTTCAGAAACGGGCTTGACTTACTCTGCTTTCTCGGGTTTGATATACCCCCCTTTCTGAAACGGAAAACGTCTCGGTTACGGATGTAACCCTCGTTCCCTGAGTAGGGAACGGAGACGTTACGTCAGAAGTGACGGAGATTGGGTTTCGCATAGAAAGCCAATCCTCTTCGAGTATTTAATCACGAGCCAATGGCATGCAATGCCTTGGGGCTGCGGAATTTTGCATAGCGTACTCCGCCCTACCCCTACGCCCTACCCCTACACTAGTATAAAAGGAGGAAGTGAACGCAACCGCAGTATGTCTTCGCTGAGGAGCCAAGACTGAACTCAGGCGTCTACCCAGCGGTACAGCAGAAGTGGCAGGGAGACGTAACGTCTCCGTTCCCTACTCAGGGAACGAGGGTTACATCCGTAACCGAGACGTTCCCTTTCGTAGTCACTTCGAGTTACGTCAGAAGTGACGGAGATTGGGGGTCAATGCCAACCACGCCATCTTACAGCTGTCTTCCAGTGCCCTGCGAAAGTCTAGACCCCTGAACCTAGGTATCACCAGGAGATCCTACTTTGACACAGGAATACCAAGGTACACTGGGAAACATATCCCGGGAGGGACATGCTACCAGATGCCTACCGTAGGGAGGACTTACGAATACACATATGGCCGCATAGGGACACATATGGAGATCACTGGAGCACCAACCGCAGGTGGTTACTAGAATTAACTCTAGGGGTGGCAGATGGCTTGCCAAGGGAAGACACATGCTCAGAGAGGCTTACAGTGGATAATACACATGAGACAGTTACCATAGGGAACCGTGCACATGGAGGCACCTAGCCAGCAACCAGAGCGACGCAGTGGTGCCCACATCTTGGGTGCTGGAGGACTCAAGGCTTCAAGGAAGACTACTGAGGAATATCGCACTTATCCAGTCGAGAGTGGAATGGCGAGCAAGCGAAGACACCTAAGCGGGTCCAGTACTGGTGGAAGCGAGTACGTGAGAGGACACCGGTTTGACTCGCAGATTATAGAATCTGGCGAAGGTGTTTGGTGTCGCCCAGCCTGCAGCTCTACAGATGTCTGTTAGCGAGGCGCCATGCGCTAGAGCCCAAGAGGAGGCCACACTCCGAGTGGAATGGGCCGTCACACCAAGAGGGCACGGACAGCCTTGCTGCTGGTAAGACAAAACAATAGCGTCCACTATCCAGTGAGACAGCCGTTGTTTTGAGAGAGCCCTTCCCTTCTGGCTCCCTCCATGACAGACAAAGAGCTGGTCTGAGGTCCTGAAACACCGCGTTCTGTCGACGTAGGTGCAGAGTGCACGTACTGGACAGAGCAGTGCCAAGCCTGGGTCTGCCTCCTCCAGGGGCAGCGCTTGCAGGTTCACCACCTGGTCCCGGAAGGGAGTGGGGGGAACCTTGGGCACATATCCAGGCCGGGGTCTCAAGATACGTGAGAGTAAGCCGGTCCGAAACTCCAGGCACGCTTCGTCAACAGAGAATGCGTGCAGGTCCCCCACCCTCTTGAAGGAGGCCAATGCAACCAGGAGTGCCGTCCTCATAGGACAGAACTTAACTCTACCGATTGCAAAGGCTCAAGGGGAAGCCTCTGCAGAGCACTTATATCTACTGAGAG